ATACATAAAATCAATGAGAAAAAATATCAAATCTTTTACATATTTTCACTTATTAATAAAATATTATTATTTCTTAATCTATCATAAAATCTCAAAGAAATATATTCGAGTGAGACGGAGGGAGTACAATTTTAAAGAATAAAGTAAAATGACAACTACATATTAATGAAATTTTATTTTGACTATGTTCATACATGCAATTTCCAACTAAATTACAATTTATAATTTTTTTTTTATAAAATATAAATAAACTTCACTAATATTATATATAGACATTATTTTTATGATATTTATATTTAATAGATAAAATCTATCAATATTTAATATTTAAAATACTATAAATTGATCGTATAAAATATTTTAATTTACTTAAATAATTTTTATATTAAAAATTTATTTATATAATAATAAAATTTAAAATGTCACCAAATTTAAAATGACACCGTGCATTGCACGGTTCCTATATATATATATATTAGATGAAAGAATATAATCATGTAAAACATAAACAATAAGCACATATAAATTTTTAAAAAGCATTTTATTTCTATACAATTTTTAATATATTTTATCTTTACATAAAAATTAATATTTAATATAAAATATTGTTTTTTATATTATTATATAAAAAAAAATTTCAAATCAAAACACTAAACAAAAAAACCCCATATTACATCTTGAGAGCTTGTCGTCTGTATTTGCTAAATGAGAAATATATTATATATATATACTTTTTAAAATGAATGACTATATCTTTTTCTATATTTGGTATATTTTTTATTAAGTAATTAATATTTTTAAGGTGCGTCTTTCCTGGTCCTTTCGTAATAGGGAAAGGTCCTCTCAATGCTCTAACGCCCAGAGTGTTCGAAATGCATGTTCATTTGCTTAGTTATATTTTATTTAATCAACTTGATTGTTTAGTGCCTAGTTTGCAGGGTATTAGATTTGACCGGAGGTTTACCTAGTGCGCACTTTCGAGTAGCGGCTGCGGGTTCCCATGTCATAAAAAAAGAAAAAAGTGTGTTTGTTAACTAAGATTGTTGGAAATATTATATATATATATAAGATATAAGAAACTGCATATAAAATATAAAAATAATGAATATGTATGATTGTTGAGTAAAAAAAAAACCAATGTATAGGGTTTATAAATTTGATTGATATATAGTCCAATGGGCCTATAGTAGACTCTTAATGGAGGTCGGTCAAAAGGAGGTCGGACGAAGGAAGGTGAGACGGCCGATAAGGAGGTCGGACAAGATAAGGTTGGGCGAAGGAAGGTGAGACGGCCGATAACAAGGTCAGACAAGATAAGATCCGGCGAAGAAAGATGAGACGGCCAATACGGAGGTCGGTCAAAAGGAGGTCGGACGAAGAGAGATGAGACGGCCAATACGGAGGTCGGTCAAAAGGAGATCGGGCGAAGAAAGATGAGATGGCAGACACGGAGGTCGGACAAGAGGAAAAGCCTGTTAATTGGTCAGGTGAAAAAGGTCTGTTAATTAGTCGCTTAATCGCCTGATCGATTGGCCGGTCATTTGGTCAAACAGTAGTTCAGTCGCTTGAAAGGGCAGTCAGTTGGTCGCTTGATTGGGCGACCGATGAATCGTCTGGACGAATGGTTGTTCAGTCGATTGAAGGGACTGGATGGTGGTCGCTTGATTGGGCAACCAATGAATCGTCTAGACGAACGGTTGTTCAGCCGTTTGCAGAGACTGGATGGTGGTCGCTTGATTGGGCGACCGATGAATCGTCTGGACGAATGGTTGTTCAGCTGTTTGAAGGGACCGAATGGTGGTTGCTCGAGTGGGCAACTGATTAGTCGTTTGGTCTAGCGACCAGTTAGTATCTGGATTGGTCGGTTGGTCAATCGTTGGGTTATTCGGCAGGTTCAGTCGGTGGATGGTCCATACGGTTTTTCAGTCGGATGGTGATTTATGATCCGTCTGAAAAGACGGTTGAGAGAAGTTACAACCAGCGAGCGGATATGAAGGCACGACCTGGTTGTGGTGCTTGACATAGGTTTTAAATAGGTCTGTTCATGACCTAAAGAAACCATCTTCAATTGGTCGGCCTGCTGTCTGTCTAAAGTATGTTGGGCGGTTGAGTAGTCGTTCGGGACCAGCCGTCCATTTAAGGAGGTAAGGTGCCCAGAGGCGGTCGGTCGAGCCAGTTAGGTTCTGTAACTGGTGGGAGCGGTTGGTGAAACGGTTAAAACACGTGTTAATGGAGGAGAAATTAGTGGGCGGTTGACGGCGGTTGCTGTAATCGAACAGACGACGGTTCCAAAACGTTTTTAGGGACTATTTAAAGATCTGGATCTATTCTGGAAATGCATCTTCAATCGACATCAAATTCACTAGAATTTTTTTTTGGGATCACCATTTTACTTTTACAGTATGTAGTATTTATTTTTCTATTTTATTTATGTATCGTACGGTGCTTACGGATTCTTAATCTCAGACATTTATTTTATCAAATTCGAAGATAATTCCTATTTTTTGGTTTTACTTTTTATTGTTGAAAATTTGCATCAACAATGATGTATTAATATTTTTAGAAAAACTATGTGAAAAAAATTATAGAAAGAACAAATTATATTCTCTATAAATATTTTATATCACGATTTAAGAGTTGTAAGTGTTTAATTTACTTTTTGTTTAACAATTATTTGCAAGATTGAGTATTGCCTGGTCTATTAGACATGATATTTTTCTATAAATATTTTGTCTTATTATTTAAGGTCTCCAAGTATATATATATATATATATTTCTATAATTATTTACTTTGTATCTTTAATATATTACTCCCTCCGTCCCAAATACCGTTTCTACTACACTGTAAACACGGTATTTTAGGAGGGGTGTAATTAGTAAATAACTAAGAATATGTTAGTGAAAATAATTATCTTATAATATAAATAATTATAAATTAAGATTAAGATAACTAATTAGTTTAATTAAAATTAAAAAAAATAAAATTTAAAAATTTAAAATGAGATTAAAGTGTGTAATCATTTTTCAGAAAAGGAAAGTGACATGGTATGTGAGACGGACATAAACGACAACGTGGACACGGTATCTGGGACGGAGGGAGTACTTTTTTCTAAATTCTTATAATTTGTCGTCCATTGTCATTTTTTTGTGTCAATAGGTGCTTCATAATGCTATTTATATATTTATTTACTCTCTTCGTTTCACCTTTTGTGTACAGCTTATTCTAAATACAAAAATTTAGTTAAAATATAATTACTAAATAATTAAAAAGTGTATTAGTACAAACTAATTACTTTCTTCGTTTAATTAAAAATTATACATTTATTTTTGCGCGTGAGGTTTGAAAAATTATAGTATTTTAATTACAGTGGGTATGTAAAAATAATGTAAAAATAATTTTTCACTTGTTTTTTTGTATAAAAGTAATGATATAATGGTAAAGTATGAATATTTGTAAAAAGAAAGTTGAGTATTTTTTAAATAATTATTTTGTAATTAAACAACTCAAAATAGAATTATATATACTTTGTAAGTAGCCGGAGTTAATGTTATATAATATAAATAATTATATATTAAAATTAAAATAATTAAGTAATTTAATTAAGATTAAAAAATGATTGATTATGAAATTTAAAAATATGAATAAAGTGTATACAAAAATATATAAATAATATGAGACAAATGAAAAAAAAAATAATAGACAAATAATATGGAACGAAAAAAAGTAGTTTTTAAAATAAAAAGTGAAATTACATGGTAGAAAAACTGGCTTATATGTAAAAACAACAACAATAATAATAATAATAATAATAATAATAATAATAAATTAATAGAAGAAATTTATTTGGAATTTTAGATTGTGTTTGTTTTTTAAAATTATTTGAATGAATAGTTTTTTTTTACTTGAGTTATAAGGAACTACGTAAGTAATATAAATATATTTTGAAAAAATATGTGTATACTTCTTTATTAAGACAACACACTTTTATATGAATAAAGAGTGAAAAAGACGCGTTAATAATAAGAATATAGAGTAAAAAAAAAAATTAGTATATAAAGAATAAAAAAAAAAATTGAATTTAAAATTAAAAAATTTAATAGAAATTATCCTTAAATAGTTAAAACTTATTAAATCAAGTTTGGCCAAACTCTCTAAAGAGACCGGCCGTTAATTAAACTACATAATATTATAAGTTATATATAACTCATCCAAAATTCTTTTATTTTATTTTTATCTTTCTTAAAAAATATGTTTATATATATATATATATATATATTTAAGACTCCATTTATTTTATAAAAATAATTTATGTTAACTACAAATAAATAAATAAACAGAGAAATATAGTTTTTATTCATTTTTATTATAAAAAATTTATTATTTGTAAAATGATATTCATATTATATATTTTTTTCGATATAATTTTTAAAATACTTAAATACATATTATAATTTTTTATTTATATATTAAATTTTAATTACTATTAAAACTACTAATATTATTAATTATGTAGAAAATAATATCACAACTTATTTTCAACTAATTAATCATCATTATGTGTTAAATATAGTGTTACTAATCAAATTCGTCAAATTAAACATTATTATTTTAAATAAAGTATTATTAATGAAAAATATCAATGGAATGAGTTGAGACTGAAAAAGTAATAATAATTATTTATTATTAATTTTAAATAAATAATATTATATTAAGTAAAAAAGTTACAATGTAATTAATTTAAGAATATAGAGAAAAATAATTAAAATTTTTATAAATTATTATTACTCCTCCGTTCGAACTTAGAATATCATTTTTTCTACTTAATAGTATTCATTTTTTATTTATTAAAAGCAATTGTGAATTAATATCAAAATAAATTTAACTTCGAATCAAATTACAAATACAATTATATAAAATAAAAATAAAAAATAAAAAATAATGAAAATTTTCTACACATTTTAACTAATTAATAAATATAATTTTGGTTGAAGAGATGAAATTGTACAAGAATATGAAAACTAAACCTACTCAAGTCATTTCGACTTGAGCTAGTCAAAGAAATGAAGAGTGCCCTTTATTATTATTATTATTATTATTATTATTTTCTGAAAATAAAATTATATTGTAAAAATTAGGAAATATACAGTCCTAATCAAACAATCCTTTAATAAATTTGACTTGAATAGCATTAGCAGCAGCAGCAAGAACAATGGGATGGGAAGCCCAAAGCAAGGTCAACCGCCCTCTTCTCTTCTCTTCTCAAGGTCTCTTTTCTCTCTTCCAACTCCGTCCGTCCGTCCGCCCGCCCGTCCATCCATCCTCAGGTTCCAACTCAATTAAAAAATGAAATAGATCACTAATTCTCAACAACAGATTGGTTGGTTGGGTTCCACAGAGTAAATCCATGGGGGATGGAGATTCAATCACCAACCAACCATCAACAGATAAACGAAACGAACCAAAGCACCATGCACGAAACCTACCTACCTGCCTGCTCCCTCCAACTCCAACTCATTCAATCCTCACTTACCATATCCCAAAACCACCAAACGCCAACCCAAGTCATAATCGAAGGAGTGGGAATGGAGTAGAATCACTATCTTGGTGGTGGATCTTGATAACATGCCCTAATTATTTACAACAGCTTTATAATATAGTCTGTAAAAATGAAATATGTACAAACAACCTTCCACAACATACCTGTTTGTTGAGTTTCATTCATGTCTGTCTGTCTGTCTGTCTGTCATACACATTCTCATTTCCAATTACACAAACAAACATATGCACAAAACCGATACAAACTAACATACAAAAACAAAATAAAAACCAAGCGCACCTACATATATACTTACCCTCGGCTTTTTAGGTTGCTTGCATTCTCTACCAGTGCTACCCCTACCCCTACCCCTACCCCTAGTTCATCAATCTGATACTGCACCCTTTATCAAACAAAAAATTAGAGTCAGAGTTGAGGAGGAGGACATCCTCTGCGTGTTTTGTTGCATCAAATTGAACAATCAGGTCTCATCAAATATTACATCTATAGACTCTGCATTCCAATTCCATGGCAATATCATGACACACACACACAAACACACAACGAGAGGATGAAGAGTATGATGGATGTGGCAGGAATATTATTCACTTCGCCCGGTTCAATACTAAGGCGAAGCGACTCAACTCTCCTGCCCCTCGCTCTACCTCTGCGGCGCGCATACACGCAGCAACTATGCGCATATACATCAGATAAGCTAACGAGGCATTCAAATAAACAAATAATAAATAAATCTCAAATTTCATCTCCATCGCCAAGCAACTTGCTGCTGTTGGTCATCTCGGCGGTTTCAGTTGTATTTATAGGGAAGACATTCAGAACGGCATTTGTGTTGTTGGTAACAATTAGGGTTTCTGGTAGGGCATAAATGGGCTGATATATGGGAAAATGAAAGCTAAATACAGTAAGGGTAGTGAGAGCCCAGCCCAGCCCAGCCCAATCCACAAATAAATAAATATACATACATACCTAGACGGAGGATAATGGAAATAGGCTTCAACGGTCTATATAAAAGCGTGTTTACTAACTTCAGATATATTTTTAAATAAATTAAACACGCTTTAACCTTTACAAATATTATAATTTATATATACCTTTTCTTTTATCTAATATATACAAATATTATAATTTAAATTATTTATAATCTATAAAAAATTATATTTGATGACAATAAAAAATATAAAAATTAATTTATTTTAATTGACTTGTTATATATTGTTGATGTAATTTTTCAACAAAAATAAAGTAAAATTCAAAGATATAGAAAATATCCTTAAACTTGATTAATTAGTGCCTGAGATTAGGAATCTCTAAACACTGTATGGTACAGAAAATAAACTGGAAAATAAAAGACTGAAATTTAAAGTGGTGATCCCCAAATCTGACTTTGCTTTGTTGAAGTTGATTGAAGATGCCCTGCCAAATGATGATCCAAACCCTTAAATATTCTCTGGGAAACTGTACTGAAAACCGTCGCCCGAACGGTTACAACGTCTCCTTCCCAACCGTCTTCCAACCCTTCTCCTGCTGACACGTGTCCTCAGTAGACCAAAATTATCCCTATATTTCACTCTTTGAGTCGACCACAGACCTTCCGCCCTTTTGGCCCGACTGCCAATCTACAACCGACTTGCAAACCATCTGACTTGTTTGGATTAGCTACAGACATCCCGACTAACAAACCATCCGACTTGTTGGTCCCGCCGCAGAGTTCCGACCTGAGAACTTTCCGACCTGAGGGCCTCCCGACCTGCGGACTTCCCGTCCTGAGGACCTCCCGACCTGCGGACTTCCCGTCCTGATGACTTTCCGTCTTGAGGACCTCCCGACCTGAAGGCCTCCCGACCTGCGGACTTCCCGTCCTGAGGGCCTCCCGACCTGCGGACTTTCCGTCCTGATGACTTTCCGTCCTGAGGATTTCCCCCCGACCTGAAGACCTTCCGACCTGAGGTCTTTCCGTCTTGAGGACTTTCCATCTTGAGGACTTCCCCCCGGCCTGAAGACCTTCCGACCTGAGGTCTTTCCGTTTTGAGGACTTTCCGTCTTGAGGACCTCCCGACCTGAAGACCTTCTGACCTGAGGTCCTTCCGTCCTGAATTTTTCTTAGAAATAAATCTATTTTCCTTGATTTCCTCACGGTGTCCTTCAGCCAGTGCAATCAACTCTATTGCCAGGCCCATTCTTCTTTTTACCTTGGGCTTTTTAACCTAATTCTAATTTTCATACGTAACAACTTGCCCGCCGCCAAGGGACTTTCAAACGCCATTTATCAATCGATGTTTGGAAGTTCATAAATCACCACCCTCTTGAAAAATTCCCTTAGCAACTGCACCAGTTACTGCAACACTCTTGAGTAACTTCCTTATCCGCAATACGAGCCTTTGTGAATCACAATCTCAACCACTCCGACCATGGCGAATCGATACATTCCTTCCCTTCCCTTCGACGGAACCCTCCCAGAGGGCCCGTTTTCAGCCTCGAAAGTACTAACTCCGACGATCCGCCCATACTGCACTACTCCTGAAGACTCAAATCGGATGAGGGAAGTTTTGGAATCCCGAAATTCCTTGGCTATCAACAATCCTAACTACCAAGCAATTCGCATCCGAGACAGCATCAAAACCCATCTCACAGACCCAAAAGATCCTTACCGCTCTTGGTATCGACGGGTAGCAGAACACTTCCAGACCCAATGGCGATCTCAAAAAATCGACCAAGCAATACTATTGTCCACCATGCCGATCAATCTACACGAGAAGGTGCTCCTAGCCATGTCTGCCTTCTGGAATGCGGAAAATGGGACTTTTCTCTTACCGTCGGGCCCCTTTGGTCCGACTCTCATGGATGTGGCAATGATCGCGCATCTCCCAGTCGTGGGTGAAGACCCTGTGATGGGAGCCCTAGATGGGCAGGAGCCACCAGAAGACCATCCAGGGTGGTCTTTACAAGGCGTGAAGGAATGGGGCTGGACAAAGTTCGCGACCGACCAGCAAGGGGCTCCGGGGACCCCCGTGACCGACCGGGAGCATACTGCCTTTATTCTTTTTTGGCTTTGTAGGTACGTCATTGTTTCCCCTTCTAAATGCGTTCTTCCTTCTCATCTCGACCTGGCCATTCATATCGCGTCAGGTAGGTTCTTTTCCCTTGGCACCCTGTTTTTAGCCAATCTGTTTGAAGGACTCACCAGGGTTAGCCTTCGTTTAACAGATAATGATAATAGAAAATTAGACACTGCCGCATCGGGTCCTTTTTGGTTTTTAGAACTTTGGTCCCGTCTTTACTTCCCCAACGCGTTCAACTTAGGATCTCCGCCCACTATGCCAATATCCGAAAAACATTTGGGATTAGCCCTCAACCGACTCTGCTCAGGACGCAGTAAACTCCAATCCTCCGATCCAATAATAACCACAATTTTGACAGATACCCGCAGTAACTCGCGATTCTCTATGTATAAAAAATATGCGGGTTATGCTCCCGACCACTTTTGGCCCTTTCCAGTACCAAATCCTCTTCCAACTCCTGAGCCTTGTCCTCATCCCACCTATTCTTTTGCCTGGGACGTTGCCCTCAAACCCAGGTCTCTTTTTAGCAGCAAAAAACTTGATAAAAAAGGGCAAAAAACTTTTTGCACCTTTAATTATGAACCTCAATTCATGGCGCGCCAGTTCGGCTGTTGCCAAGGTATCCCTGGACCCGTCGCTTGTCCTCATATAATTTTTCAAAGTCCTGACCGACGAGTCCTACCTAATTCAATCCCTCCTTATATCTCCCAGCTCACCACGTATATAGTTTCCAATTCTTATATTCCTTTCCGCTCCAACCCTGAGACTGTAGATACATTCAATGAATGGTGGTCGGTTGTATGGCCCCTGATTTCTCCTGATGAGGATCGGTTGCTGAACGTACTCCTTCCCACCCAAGGATTGGTTCTAGGGGCGGCTAGACATACTAGCACTCAGCAACAAACAGCCGCCCCGGGAATCGGATCTAGCGTTCCAATGCGGAAAAGGAAAGCTTCCCAGCTACAAACACCCCCGACCTCTGGGGCCGACCAGCAAGCATCCGGCGGACCTTGGAACTACAAGGACGTCAGCAAGGACCCGACCCCGAATAGGTAATTTTTCTGAAAACCGTGAACCAACTCACTATATCTTAACTTTGATTTCACTTATTTCATTCACCAGAACCGACCTTGGTAACACCGACCACACAAACGACGCCAGCCCCAGCCGACCAATCAATCATACCTTTGGTCCAGACTCAGGCACTTCCTCGCCAAACCCCTACTCCACTTCTCACTTTGCCAATGAGCAGCCGGGCGGAGGACCCGACAAGGAGGCAAACTCTTCCTCCTGCACCGAGGAGCGGTCGGGCCATGCGCCCGACCAAGAGGCAATCTTTACCAGCACTGCCTATAGAACCAGTAAATCCTCTCGTCAGCAATACTCAAGATTCTGATGATCAACCCTGGTATAGTTAACAACAACATTTCCCTAATTTTTCACAGACACCTTCACTAATCGCATCAGCAGCAGGGGTCTCTTCAGACAGCGAGGGGACTACTTCCCAGATGGGTCAACCGCCATGCATGGCATCAGACTCATCTATTTCGAAGGAAGAACCGGCTGCTCTTGCCGAAGCTGACCCTCAAGACGACATCCCTGCTGCTGCTGATCCCGAAATAGTCCAATCGGATGCAGCTGCACTGGAAACCGAAAGTGCCTCGGCCGCGGCTATCCCAGTTGCTCCCGAGATACCGGCTGCAGTGGCTCTACCTCCAGCAATCGAGTGGCAGGCAGAAGAACCACCTGTGGCAGCCCAACCTCCAGAATTAGAAGAACTTTCTTCGTCCGATTCGGAGACTTCTGTGAATTTGGTAAGATTAAACCAATTCATGCCACAATGTTTCTTTCTAAAAAACACTAACTGTTTTATATACTACTTTCCATAGGGACCCAGGTCGGCACCTCAGCGACCATTCGCAGCAGCCGACGAGTCGGCTGCTATTATACCAGCTGTCCGCCCTACTCGACCGACCTCATTGTTGCCCCCTTCACTGACAGCAGTTCGCCCAGAGGTGACACATATCTTATCTGAATAATTTTGCACCTCCCTTGGAATACTTATTGAAACTGTAAGACCTGCAGGGGCCTTCGGACTTAGCTATCCTATCGACTGTTCCGGTTCCAGCGGAGGCCCAAACTATATTCACCGAGGCCATTAACCATCCCCTTTCAGAATTAAGATCCGACTTATTGGACAATCTCATTCAGACGGTGGGTGGCCTTCTTTTTTACACTCCAACGGACTCGCCAGCCGTCCCCATTCTGCATCGGCTGATGGAGAGACTTACGGAGCTCAAGACTGAAGTGTTAGTTATCGGACTCCTGTCAGCCGAAACCCCCCAGCCTGTCTTCGATCAAACAACACTGGAGAATTCTTTGGCTAAGACCCGAGAATCCCTTCAGCAAACTACTGGAAGGTTGGGCGGTCTCCTTAGCACGAAGGCTCAAGTTGATGAATCCATTCAGAAAAAGGAGGCAGAATTGCGGGAGCTAAGGAAGGAACAGTCTATCCTGGATAATCAAATTACCAATGAGCAGCGTCTGCTTGAGAAGTATACGAAGAACGAGGCCGAATTGGATCAAGAGCTAAAAACCCAAGCTCGATTCCAATTCATCAGAAGATATCAGACGGCTGCTAATACCAGAAGGCTATCCAGGGATGAAGTCAAATGGACAAATATAAAAACTGCCCTAGGGGCACTTTTGTAATACTTCCCCCTCTGTAACAACATTTGACTTAGTAATATATTTTTCCTTCTTCTCTCAAAACCAGGATCACCTTCCA